CATCTTGTTGGGGGTTCATCTGTTTTGGACCTGGATGTCTGTTTCCTTCCCCAGATTAAGGAAGTTTTCAGCTCTTCTTCATGTGAATTTTCTGTTCTTTCTCTTTTCCTTCCTATAATCGTCTATAGGGATTGCTATAATGTGAATGTTAGTACATTTGATGATGTCACAGAGCTCCCTTAACCTATTCGCCTTTATTATTTTCTTCTTTTTGCTGTCCAGTTTGATTGCTTGCCATTATACAGTTTTCCAGATTACCAATCTCTTCTTCTACATCCTCTCAGCTTCTGTTGATTGCCTCCATTTTTCATTTCAGTTACTGTATTCTTCAACGTTAACTGTTTTCCCCCATCTCTTGGTTGAAATTCTTACTTGAGCCATCACTATTTTGTCATGTCCAGTGAGTATCTCTATGACCATTGCTTTGAACTCTTTATAAGGCATATTGCTTATTTCACTTAACCCCTTTTCTGTGATTTTTGTCTTGCCCTTTGATTTGGGGTGCATTCCTTTGTCTCCTCATTTTGTGTAAATCTCTGTTTGTTTCTATGTATTAGATAGGTCAGCTGTGTCTCCTGGTCTTGAAAGTAATTGCCTTAGTAAAAGAGGTCCTGTGTTGCCCTATAGCCAATCTCCCTTTGTAACTAGAACCAGGTGCTCCTTTTAGGCTGTGTGCACTCTCCTGTTATGGCTTACCCTCAGTTGCTATGGGCATTCTAGTGAGTAAGGCTGACACTCAGCCCAACTGGCTGCAATGACCCACTTCACCTGCTGTGGGTGTACAGGGCATGGGTTGTTCGTAACTACTGAGTTGCCTGGCTGTAGCTGCCATGGGCTTGCTGGTGGGTGCAACCAACCCTCAGCCTGGCTCTCTGTGTGCTGAAAGGCAGGCCTAGCACCCTGCACAGCCAGCTCAGAGCCAAGGCTGCAGGAACTACAGGTGTGCTGGTGTGTGGGGTTATTGCCATCCCTTCCCAGGGCAGGAATCATTTTTGAGGGGTGCTGGTCCTAGATAGGACTTCCTGCTGGGTGTGGCAGGGTAGTAATCACTTTGGATGAGTATGTGCTAAGGTGAGGGATTTGGGCAAGCAGGTCCATAAGGGAATCCCCAGGGCGGGACACATGGTGAAAGCAAAGTAGATGGAGAGTGTTATCATTGTCTTCTAGAAGCATCCAGCATTCTGGGCTAGCAGAAGGCAAGAAAAAAGTACCTGCCAGCCCTTTTGTTCCTGGACAAATCACCTACAAATCCCTGCTCCTCTTGCACATGTTCTAAAATTAGTCAGTAAATCTCCTTCATGTACACCCCACTTTTCAACTGCTGCTTTTGTGTGGTGTCTCAGGCAAAGCTTTTTCACATGCTGACTCTTGAAGGGTGAGGACTCCACTTCTGTCACCCTCTGGCTCTCCTAATGTTAAGTCCCACTAATTTCTAAAGCTTCCAGATTTAAAGCTTACTGATTTTTAAAATATATGGCCAATAATCTTCAACAAAACAGGATAGAGTATCCAATGGAAAAAAGACAGTCTCTTCAACAAGTAGTGCTGGGAAAACTGGACAGAGACATGCAGAAGAATGAAACTGGACCACTTTCTTACACCATACACAAAAATAAATTCAAAATGGATGAAAGACCTAACTGTGAGAGGAAATCATCAAAATCCTAGAGAATAAAACAGGCAGCAACCTCTTTGACCTCAGCCGCAGAAACTTCTTTCTAGACGTGTCTGTGGAGGTAAGGGAAATAAAAGCAAAAATGAACTATTGGGACCTCATCAGGATAAAAACCTTCTGCCGAGCGAAGGAAACATTGATAAAACTAAAAGACAACTGACAGAATGGGAAAATATATTTTCAAATGACATATTAGATATATTCAAAATCTATAAAGAACTTATAACACTCAAGCCCAAAAAAACAAATAATCCAGTGAAGAAATGGACAGAAGACATGAGCAGACAGTTTTCAAAAGAAGATAGATCTCCATAAGGCACTAGAACATGTTAGGGGGTCTGGGATGGTTTTCTCTTACCCCTAAAATTCTCAGACAGGATTCTAAAATGTGAGAAAGTGTCAAAATTTCATGAAGCTGGGTTACACGTATTGCAAACACAAATGATTATATTGTTATTTGCTAGCAGTGTGAAAGATGTTTCCTATGAAGGTAAAAGGAATTTTGAGTCTTTTTTGTTTTTGCATTTTCTCTCATCCTTCCATGGATACTCAGATCCCACAGACAGGATCCCTCCTACTATCAGCACCGCCACCTTGGCAATGAGGCACATCTTGTTTGATTGCTGGAGCCACAGCAGCCATTTCCCTGACTTGTGGCTTAGGCTCCAGTGACCGTTCCCTGGACATCTGTTCTTCACTTGGCTGATGCTGGCAATGTGCCCATTTTCCTTGGGCTCTTTTAGATCCTGGCCAGCACTACTCTTACCCTACTCATACCGCCCCAAGAACTGATGATCTCCTTGCTTGTATTTTACTGTGCAAATACATGGCCCTTTTTTCCCCTGGCTGAGCTCTCATGTTTATATCCCTCATTTAGACCCATAAACATAGGGGAAAGGAAGCTACTCAATCAAAGATAATGACCAAGCTACACACTAACTGCAAGGAGAGTACACATAAAGAGGACCATTTATCTTGCTCACATGAGGCTTTTGAGTGGTTAAAGGGGGTGGGAGTCTTTTAAGCATAATGGACAATAAATATATGAACCACAAGGATCTACGTGAACTTGGTTATACCATTCGTGTTGGAGTAATGCTGAGTGCTGGCAAGTGCTCTAAATCAGAGGTCAGAGTGACAGGAATCCTGATCTCAGCTCTGTTTGCAAGCATACTAGATAATCGGGACAAACCATTTAAATTCTCTTCTGTGCTCTCAGTTAAGTCCAGCATATCTGTTATTCTTGCTTCAGGAAGAAATGTCAGGTTGACATTAAATGTCAACATCAATATAACTAGAGCAAATTAAAATGCATAAATCTGTGTGTTAGAGTGGGTGGTAAACTTGGATGGTTGCTAACATTAGTCTCCTAAGGAGCAACCAAACCAGAACTGTAAATCTTTATCTCTTAAAGGGTCCCTAGGGCAGAATTGAGCAATCCTGGACCCAGTCATACACATTAAGTTCAAAAAGCTTCTCCAACTGTCCTCATGTGAAAACCTAAAGAGGTATTGTTAACGCCAGTTCAGTAAAGCATGATCAAGGATGTTGAAAGGATTATTATGTGCTTATGAAACAGATCTTGATTCTTAAATAGACAAACAGACATGTTTAAATATGCTTAACTTCCTGTGTGGGACAGCACAAATGAGACTGTGGAGGGATCCACAGTGTAATCAGCTACTGCTTTCTATGGGCACTGGTACAATTGCCTCGGGTACCTGCTCTTTCTGGCACCATTTCTATAAATTTAAGAATCCAAATCCCAGATGGATTCAAACTGATGACTGTAAGCTATTACGCTGTTGTTCTGAGAGTTAATATCATTGTCTTGCCTACATTGTATTTGAGGTTCCATCAGTTCAATTCAAATTTTGAGTACCTACAATGTACAAGATAGTATGCACTTGAATCCTGGCAACTGGGTCTTGATGACAAGGCTCAGATGGCAACTAGGCAGTTACAGTTTTTCAGGTGAAGAAACATTGAGTTAAATCCACTCTTTACTTCGTCAGGTGTTTATTGTGTATGTACTATAACTAGACTAATGAAGTCTAAAGACATTAAAGTTATTCGAAGAATTTCATTTTTCCTCCCCCATTCTGCATGAACTGATAACCACAGCTTGTGATTCAGACACCCCCTTAAGGTGGAGTTGGCATGCCTGATAGCTTTGCTGAAATAAGCAGAAGATTGTGTTTCCAAGTTAAAAGCCTGCAGGCAACTTTGCCTGTGTTTTCTTTTGGCACAGAGGAGATGCACCCCAGTTGTACTCTTGTGGCTTCAGAACAAAGCCTCAACACTCAGCTTATGGTAGTTCCTATGTATATTAAACACAATCTTTAAAGGTATGAAAACATTTTCACAACTGTGCAGGTGAGGGAAAAGGTAACATTTTTTCTTGGGTATCCAAACTTCTAATGTCTATGTATAAACTGGGAATCTAGGATAGGAGGTGTTTCTAGGGGAGAGTCATTTGAAAGATGGAAAATTTTAGAAAGGAAGCACTCGAGCAATCTTTTTTTTAATGCTTATTTATTTTTTAGAGAGCAAGAGCAGGAGTGGGGGAAGGGCAGAGGGAGATGGGAACAGAGGATCCGAAGTGAGTTCTGTGTTGACAGCAGACAGCCCAGTGCAGGGCTCAAACTCATCAACCATGAGATCATGACCTGAGCCAAAGTCAGCCGCCTAACCAAATGAGCCACCCAAGAACCACTAAGCAGTATGCTTTTAAAATACAACTTGAAGTTCTTGCACAAAGACAGAAATTAAGATGTTAACAATGGAAAAACATTGAAGTTTTTAAATGTAAGTTTTAAAATCTTTTCAATCTTCAGTGATACTAAAAAGGCTAGTTAAGAATAAGGAACGTAATAAGAATTATAATAAAGATGCTGGGAAAATCAAGTTATATTAAAAGGGCCCGGGGATAACGTGACGATCACGGTCAACATTTGCCGAGGTGTTCTGTGTCTACATTTTGTGTTTAAGGGAAGAGTATAATAAACCTGTTAGGTGAAAAACTAGCCAGGAGACTTGACCTCAACATTAGCAATCCTGCATCTTACCGGCCATTAACAGCTCAGTTTCATAGAGTCCATGGTGGGCTCTCATGTCTCAGAATAGCGCTTCAGTTGAAGGGACAAGTTGATAGCCAAAGGTGGCCGTTGGCGGGATAGTAAGAGATGCTGGGGTGGGAGGGAGGCAGGGTTCTGTGCTGGTAGAAACTTAGAACAAAAGAATCAGGAGTTAGACATTTTTTATGTTTCTGCATTTCTTTTCTGCTGTATGTTTGTTTTGTATTCTCTCTTGTGGGATCCTAATCATGACAAGTATGAAAAATCGTAAGTTACTGTTGGTACTGTTTATATTTGCCTCCTGGATCACGTTTACAGTTTTCCAACACTCCACAAAGGAATCTCTTTCTGTGTCTTAACAGAAGTATAATTTTACTTCCTACTTCACCTGTTCTAGGAAAGTCCAAACAACCAGAGTTATACATCGTAGTAAGGGAATTTGAAAAGCTTACACAACCTTGAAGAACTAACATGTTTTCCCCATTGCATGTTCTTGGCTCTGTTTTCATACACGAATTGACCACATGAGTGTGGGTTTATTTCTGGTATCTCTATTCTACTCTATTGATCTATGTGTTGTTTTGTGCCAGTAACATACTGTTTTGATTACTACAGTTTTGTAGTATAGTTTGAAATCAGACTATGATACCTCCAGCTTTGGTCTTTTTTCTCAAGATTGCTTTCACAGTTCAGGGTCTTTTGTGGTAACAAACAAATTTTAGGAATATGTGTTCTGGTTCTTTAAAAACTATTCATATTTTGAGTAGTGTTGCATTGAATCTGTACATTGCCTTGAGTAGTATGGACATTTTAACAATATTCTTCTATCGTGAGCATGCTATATTTTTCCATACGGTTTTGTCATCTTTAATTTCTTTTATCAGTTTCTTACGTTTTCAGTTGATAGGTTTTAAATCTCCTTTGTTAAATTTATTCTTACGTATTTTATTCTTTTTGATGCAAGTATAATTGGAATTGTTTTCTTAATTTGTCTTTCTGCTACTTTGTTATTAGTGTATAGAAAGAACAGATTTCTGAATATTGATTTTGTATTTTGTAACTTTACTGAATTTATGTTAATTAAATCAGTTTGGTGAAGCTTTCATGGTTACCTGTGTATAGTATTATGTTATCTCCAAATAGTAATAGTTCTTACCAATTTGGATGACATTTATTTCTTGTTTGATTGCTGTACAAGGACTTCCAATACTATGTTGAATAAAAGTGATGAGAGTGGACTTTATTGTCTTGTTCCTGATCTTAGAGGAAAAGCTTTCAGCTTTTCTTTTTTGAGTATGGTGTTAGCTGTGGGTTTGTCATATATTGCCTTTCTTACGTTGAGATCTGTTCTTTCTATATTCACTTTAAGAGTTCATGTCATAGATGTATATTGAGTTTGGTCAAAATGCATCTATTAAGGTGATCTTAGGATTTTTATCCTAGTTTGGTAATACGGTATATCACATTGATTAATTTGCAGATACTGAACTTTCCTTGAATTCCTGGAATAAATCCCAGTCACTTGTGCTATATGATCTTTTTAATGTATTGTTGAATTTTATTTGTTAATATTCTGTTAAAGATTTTTTTCATCTAAGTTGATCATGAATATTGGCCTTTAATGGTGTGTGTGTGTTTGTGTGCTCGCGCACGCACGCGCGCGCAGTGTCTTTGCCTAGTTTTGCTATCAGGGTAGTGCTGGCCTCGTGAAATAGTTTGAAAGCATTGCTTTCTTTATAATTTCTTGGAATAATTTGGGAAAACTAGGTATTAACTTTTCTTTAGATGTTGATTAGAATTCACCTGTAAAGCTGTCTGGTCTTGGACCCTTGGTTTTTGAAAATTTTTAAATTACTGACTTACTTTCATTTCCTGTAATGCCTATTCTGATTTTCTGTTTCTTTATGATGCAGAGTTAGAAAGCTGTTCATTTCTTCTAGGTTTTCCAAATTTTTGGCATGTGACTGTTCATAGTAATCTCTTAGGATACTTTATATCTGTAGTATCATTTTGTAAGCTCTCCTCTTTCATTTCAGGATTTCATGTTCTCTTGTTTTTATTGATGAATCTGGCTTGACATTTATTGATTATCTTTTCAAAGAATGAGCTCTAATCCGTTGATCTTTTCTATTTTTTTTTCAGTCTGTTTCATTTATTTCCATTCTGACCTTTATTACATCTTTTCTTCTAACTTTAGGCTTTGTTCTTTTTCTCTAGTTTCTTCAGGTATAAAGCTGGATTGTTAATTTGGGATTTTTGTTTGTTTACTTGCTATATTACTATAGCAATTACAATTACTCTCTTAGAGTAATATTACTATTACTCTCTTAGAATTGGTTTTGCTGTATCCCACAAATTTAGGAGAGTTGTGTTTCCATTTTAATTTGTCTCATGGTATTTTTATTTCCCCTTTGATTTTGTTTTAATCCATCGGTTGTTTAGTAACATGTTTAATAAATGTGTTTAGTTTTTTCCAGGTCTTCTTGTAATTGATAACTAGTTTCATACTGTTGTTATTGGAAAAGATGCTTGTTTTGATGTCACTCTGCTTGAAGTTAATGAGACTTGTGACCTATCCTGGAGAATGTTCCATGTGCATCTTTAAAAAAATGGGTGTTATGGAGTTTTTGAATGAGATGTTCTATGGATATCTATAATGTGTCATTTAAGGCCACTGTTCCTTATTGGTTTTCTGTCTGGATGTTCTACCCATTAATGAAAGTGTGGAGTATTTAAGTCTCCTACTGTTAGTCTATTACTATCAATTTCCCCCTGTCTTTAAATATTTGCTTTATGTAGTTAGATGCTTCAATGTTGGGTTGCATGAATAGTACAAACATCATATCCCTTCCTTGGATTCACTCCTTTATCATTATGTGATACCTCCTTTGTCTTTTGTTACAGTTTCTGTTTTAAAGTCTGTTTTGTCTGATATGAGTATTTTATACTATCTTTTTATTTTCATTTACATGGAATATCTTATTTTCCTTCACTTTCAGCCTGTGTGTCTTTAGATCTGAAGTGAGTTTTTGTAGGCAGCTTAAAAATGGTCTTATTTTTTATCTGTTTTGCCACGCTATGCCTTCTTTTTTCTTAGAAGTGTTTTATTTTAAATGTATTTAATATGAACATGACTATGCAGATTTTCCATTTCATCTTTTGTTGATTTGGTAAGTTTTATTTTTCAAAGAATTGATCCATTTCATCTAAGTTTTGAAAATTTCTGGCATACATTTTTATTGTAATAATGATTTGGTACTTTTTAAATGTCTGCAGAATCTTTGGTGAAATCTTATTTTTCATTTCTAACACTGGTAATTTGTGCTTTCTTTTTTCTCCATTGAAGCACTCCATTTAAATTTGAAGCAATTACTGGTAGGTTTGTACTTATTGCTATTTTGTTCATTGCTTTCTGGTTCTTTCTGTGTTTCCTCCATTCCTTTCTTCTTCTTCTCTTCCCTTTTGGTTTATTTTCTTTTTTTTTAATTATTTTTTTTTTGGCTTATTTTCTTTACAGTTATATTTGGATTCCTTTCTCTTTTGTGCATCTATTGTAGGTTTTTGGTTTATGGATATCATAAGGTTCGTATATATACATACACACACACACACACACACACACACACACATATATATATTTAAGCTGTTAGTTCAAGTTCAAATGCATTCTAAAATACTACATTTTTGTTCCCCCCATCTGTTTTTTTTTTTTTTTTTTTTTTTTTTTTTTGATGTCTTATTTTACATCTTTTTATCTTGTGTATCCCTTAAATGCTTATTGTAGTTATAGTGGCCTAACCTGTTTTTGTGTTTAACTTTCATACTAGTTCTTTAAGTGACTCTTTACTACCTTTACTGCCTATTTGCCTTTACTAATGAAATTCTCTCTCTCTCTCTCTCTCTCTCTCTCTCTCTCTCTCTCTCTCACACACACACACACACACAGATATGACCTACTGTTTTCTTTTTATCATTTCTTATAAGTCCAGTCTAGTGGTGATTAACTTCTTCAGTTTTTGCTAGTCCAGGAAACTCCATATTTCCTCCAATTCTGAATGATAACCTTGTTAGGTAGAGTATCCTTATTGTAAGTTTTTCCTTTTAGCACTCCAACTATATCCTTCCACTCTCTTCTGGCCTACTAAGTTTCTGCTGAAAATCAGCTGATAACCTTATGGGGTTTCTATGTATATGGTTATCCTTCTCTTCCTGATTTAAGATCCTCTTTTTACCTTTAACTTTTGCCATTTTGATTGGCATACCATGTCTTGGTATGAATCTCTTTGGATTCAACTTGTTTGGGACTCTGTGCTTCCTGGACCTGGATGTCTATTTCCTTCTCCAGGTTAGGGAAGTTTTCAACCATTACTTATTCAAATGAGTTTTTCTGCCGATTTCCTTCTCTCTCTTCTTCTGGGATCCTTATAATGTAAATGTTAGTATGCTTAATGTTATCCCATGGCTACCTTAAACTATCCTTATATTTTTTATTTTTTTAATTTGTTTCAGTGTTTGTGTCATTCAGTTTGGGTGATTTTCACTATTCTGTCTTCCAGATTGCTATCCCATTCTTCTGTTGTATATACTCTACTGCTGATTTATTCTAGTTTATTTTCCATTTCAGTTTGTATTCTTTGGCTCTGCTTTTTTTATATTTTCTAACTCTTAAAGTTCTCCATTCTTCCATTTTGTTGATCATCATTATAACCATTACTTATCTCTGTTTTATTAAGGTTTTGGGGTAGGGTTATTTTGTTTTTTCATTTGGAACATAATTCTCAGTTCCTCATTTTGCTTCACTCTTTTTTTTTTTTTCTATGAAATAGGCAGAATGATCATGTCTCTCAGTCTTAACAGTGTGGCCTTGTGCAGGAGCATCCCCTGTGTAAACTGTGTGCCTGGTGGCTTTGGTAGAATGAGTGGCGCTGGAGCAGGCATGGGTCATGAGGTACTAGGGTGTACTGTGCTGGGGCCACCCTGGTAAGAAGACAGCTGGACCTGGAGTGGGCCTGGGCCAGGAGATCCTGTCACACACAGTGCCTTACAAGATGGCTGAGTCTGGAGTGGGTGCGTGCCAGGGGTTCCTGGTGTATATCATGCCAGGGAAGTCTAGGCCACCTTGGCAGGATGGCTGGGTAAAGCATGGCCTGGAGAAATCCTGTGGCATGGCACTCTGGGGCCCCTTGGTGGGACAGTTGGAGCTGGGGAGGGCACAAACTGGGGGTTGCAGGGTGGGGTGGTTCTTCTAGGGGCAGCTGGAGCTGTTGTGAACTAGGGGCACAGGACTTGCTTGGGGCATCCCTAGTAAGCTGGCTAGAGCACTTGGACTCTGCTCCCATCAATGCTATTAAGATGGAAGGAGAATGCAAAAAATGGTACTTACCAGCATCTCCAGCCTCAGAAAGTGTTTCAGTAGCTCCTTGTCTATTTAGCAGATGATCTAGGATTAGTTAATGCATTTTCTTCACTTATAAACTAGTTGCCTTTTAAATAGCTGGTTTTTGCTGTGCCCTTAGATAAGGAAGTCTGTATGTGGGCCCCTCCATGAGGTTGTTGCATTGGGAATGAGGCTCCTATTGTTACCATGCTCCCATCTTTTTACCCTTCTCCATGTAGTCCCTCTATCATTTGTCATGCAGCAGCTGTTCATTCAGCCCTCACTTTTTCAGGAGGAATTACTGTATATGTAATTGTAGATTTGGTGTGTCCATGGGAGAAGATGAGCTCAGGGTCTTCCTATGCTGCCGTTCTGGACCCTCTGTTCAAAGAATTTAGGTTGATGATGGCATTTAAGGTGCTGTGACAGAATGGAGCAAACTTGGGGGTAAAGAGGGATAGAATGATAAAATAATTGAGTTTTTATTACTAAGCAAGAATTGGTAACTTTCATAGAAAGGCAAATAAATGCTTAAATTTTACCCAGAGTGTTCTTTTTCTTGGGGAGGCAGGGAAGGGGAGAAAACATGTTCTCTATAATGAATGTTAATGGGCATCACTTAGAAAATTCATATCAGAAAAAAATTATACTAAAAAAAAACTATTACATTTAAAGGATGATGTTTCTTTTTTTTTTTTTAATTTTTTTTCAATGTTTATTTATTTTTGGGACAGAGAGAGACAGAGCATGAACGGGGGAAGGGCAGAGAGAGAGGGAGACACAGAATCAGAAACAGGCTCCAGGCTCTGAGCCATCAGCCCAGAGCCTGATGCAGGGCTCGAACTCACGGACCGCGAGATGGTGACCTGGCTGAAGTCAGACGCTTAACCGACTGCGCCACCCAGGCGCCCCTAAAGGATGATGTTTCAATAGGCTTTTTCACCTCCCTCATGACCTATTAAGAGAATACTTAGAAAACATAATAGATTCTTAATAAATGGTGATGAGTAAGGTGATATTTCAAAGATCCTATCTTGCTGATTCTTTGGCAGAAAAAACAGTTCGAATGAAAAAGAAATGTGAGTTTGGAATGGCATCCACAATCCCGGGTGGACATGTCTGGAAAGACACGTGGAATCCTGTCTCTTGTAGTTTGGCTCCAATCAAAATGAAAGAATGCCTAAGAGGAAATTTTATATATCTAATGGGAGATTCCACAATCTGCCAGTGGATGGAATATTTCAAAAACAGTATCAGCAATATGCCACAGTCTAAGCTACTATTTACATCTCTTAAAGAAATTACTTTTATTTCAAGGTAGCAATAAGAAAGGCTTCTTCTTCATATTTCTTAATCACAACATACTCAAACTTTTCCAGACATCCTTCCCTTTCCTTTAAAACAATATGTTTATCTGACTGGAAGGGAGCAAGTATAGAAAAGGTTTATTACATTCCTATCCCTGTAGAATACATGCCTCAGTTTGTATCCAGCATGCTCAGAAAATTGTTAACAGAGCTGAAAATACCATAAGATATTGCCCATTTTCTACAGTTGGGATGATGCTTAAGAGTGTGGATTTTAGGGGCGCCTGGGTGGCATGATGCGATTGGCGTCGACTTCAACCAGAGTCCACGATCGGCAGCCTCGTGAGTTGAGCCGAGCCTTTGCGTCGGGCTCACCTGGGCGCTCAGAGCCTGGAAGACCTCATTTCTGTTCTGTGTCTCCCTCTCTCTCTGCCCCTCCCCTGTTCATGCTCTGTCTCTCTCTGTCCCAAAAATAAATAAACGTTGAAAAAAAAAAATTTAAAAAAAGAGTGTGGATTTTAGATCCTGTTGCCCTGGAAGCAAAATTTGACTTCTCCATGTCCTACCTGGATAATACGGTGCAATTTACATAACTAGTGTCCCCCTCAGTTTCTTCATCTGTAAAATGCAGATGAAAATAGTACCCACCTGGTAAAATGAAGTATTATATACAATGCATTTAGAATTGTTTGTTACATAGTGAAGTTCTCTTTGGTATAAGCTATCATCACTGTATCATTACATGAAAAGAGAGATGCCAGGAGCAAGGTGATGATTTTGCATCAGTTAGAATTAGGCACAAAAAAAACCACATGTTTTTAAGTATTATCATATATAAACTCTGCCTCTTAGGAGCCATGACCTTTGGCATGTTACTTATTGTCAGTGTGTCATTTTCCTCATCGATCAACTCCACATGATACTACCTGGTAGTTATAAATACTAAATGAGATAGTAGTTATAAAATTTTTAACACACTGCAAGGCACACAGACACATAGAAAGTGCCTAGAAAACTTCAAAGCAGTTATCTAACATCCGGGTTGGGGCTAGAATCCAGTGGCTAGAATCTTAGTCCTGTTCTCTATTTACTAAACCAAGGATGCACAAAAAGTAATTCAGAACTCACTAGTAGATCTTAGCATTCTTACCTATAAAACTGTTACTGTTTGCCCATTGTGTCCTGGGTCGTGGCTATCATCACTGGGGACAGTGCACCTTTAGTGGCTCTCTTATGGCCTTTCTGGAATGTTGCCACTCTTGTGATCTCAAACTTAGAAGGTAAGCTTATCCTCCCACTATAGAATCAGTAGGGCCTTGGCTCCGAGCAGTATGTAGAATTCCCACCAGAAGGGATGAGTTTTAAATTGTGACCTCTGAACTCCTCCACACCTCAGTTTGGTGGTAATCTTTAAACAATTAAGGGTCTGGTGGTAATCTCTAGCATCACATTCAGTACCAGTGGATCTCTTAGGTTATAGAAAGTACTGAATTACTGAGTTACCTCCCTCTTTGTCTAATCTTTTAAATTGTAGCAAAATGTGTGTTACACATTTTGTTGAAAGTTAAATCTTACAGCATGCTTTGGGCAAGGATATTGAAGTAAATTAGCAGCAGAATGAAGACAATGATACTGCCATTTTCATTCAACTAATGTTCCAGTGTCTTCATTTTCAAACCCCCTGGGTTAAAACTTTAAATGTAGCCCTTTACTTCAAAGATGGCACTTGTTACAAAGCATTAATAATCCTCTTATATATATTTTCCTTAGAAGTTCTAACTACAAAGCAGCTGGCCCCAATAAAGGTCTAATTTATGGGATGAAAAATTGAAGGACATCATTTTATTCTGTTCATATTACATTTTCATAGGTTCTAAGATTGGGTAGACTGTTTTCGCAAGAATTGGGAGGAAGTTCAAACTCAAGTGCAGATTCTGTCACTAGCTGTATAATCTTGAGCAGATCATTTCATCTCTTGGTTTTCTATAACATGGCAGTTAAATTGTGTGTGTGGGTGGGTGGGTGGGTGGATGTAGACACAGTAGTTCCCCCCTCACCCCCTTTTATCTATGGTTTCACTTTCCACAGTTGGAGTTACTCACAATCACCTGTGGTCTGGAAGCAGAAGATAATCCTCCTGACATAGTCAGAAGGTCAGTAGTAGCCAAAGGCCATGTCACAGCACTTACATCATTCGCCTCATTTCATCTCATCATGTAGGCGTTTTATCATCTCAAATCATCACAAGAAAAGAAAAAGGATGAGTGCTGTACAACAAGATCTTTTGAGAGAGAGATCACATTTATCTAACTTTATTCCAGTATATTATAATTATTCTCCTTTTTATTGTTCATCTCTTACTGTGCCTAATTTATAAATTGAACTTTGTCATAGGAATGTATGTATAGGAAAAAACCTAGTATATTTACGGTTCAGTGCTATCTGCAGTTTCAGGCACCCACTGTGGGTCTTGGAATGTATTCTTAATGGATAAGGGGGACATGTGTGTGGAAAGGAGGAGCACGCTTTGAGGTGAATGAATGTATAAATCCAAATAAATGCTTTGTAAACTATGAAGCCCTTCACAAATGGATAGTAAAACCATTATTATAGATGACATGCTCAATCCCATTCTAAGAATAGGTAAAGGAAATGCAGAAGCAGAGAATACAATTCCAGTCTTAAGGAAACAGAGTATTAGGTTTATTTGGTTTTTGAAATGTATACTTCAATTAGTACTTTCTCTGTCCTCAAATAAGCTTAATCTACAGCTCACAAAATGTACAAAAATAATACCTAAAAAATTACATCACACTCCAGTGAAGTTACTTGAATGCTTTCCATCCCCAATTTGCTTTTGCATGGTTCTACAAGGGAGCATGTATAATTTCTTATCTGCGTAGCACTTTTGATTCAAATAGTCTTCAAAGCTATTCTGTCAGTTGAACCAGTAATAAATCAGTCATGATTAACTTATGATAAACACCAAACCTTTTCTTCTGTCTTTATGATCTTTATAATTTTACACTTCTTTCGTTTTGGGGATTACCTGTCATCAGCACTGAAGTCAATGGATCTGCCTGAGGCTGGAAAATTTCAACACTAACTTGCTGTGGACTTGGATGAGAATATCAACATTCAGTGGCAAAAACATGGTTATCCCTTGATTGGATCATTGACCTATTCAGTGAAAGAAATTGAGTACATTGCCAGAGTCATTGACAGAACTGGAGGAGATAAACACACTGTCATTGTGATTTCTCTGGGCCAGCATTTCAGACCCTTCCCCACTGATGTTTTTATCTGAGGGGCCCTCAATGTCCACAAAGCTGTTCAGCATCATCTTCTGAGAAGCCCAGACACTATGGTTATCATCAAGGCAGAAAACATCAGGGAGATGCACACCGATGTGGAAAGATTTAGTGATTTTCATGGTTACATCCAGTATCTTGCCATTAAGGACATTTTTCAAGATCTCTATGTGGGCATCATTGATGCCTGATAAAACAATTGCATATAGCAAAATAGTGTCCACCCGCCTCAATCTGTAGTCAGAAATCAAATTAATATATTGTTAAACTGTATTTGCTAGCTAACATCTCTGAAATTTATTTACTTAATTAAAAACATTTATGAAGTGTTTGCTGTCCTGTCAGATGCTGTATTTGGCTCTGCACTCCCAATCAGCATGAAATAATCTACACTATGGCTAATCCATAAACCACCAATTCAAACACATCAGTTCTTTCTAATTGGGCTTCTACTTAAGAGGAAAAAAAAAATTAATGCTCATGAAAGGGACCTACACTTCTTGATAAGAGTCCTGCCACTCTTCACAAATGGGAAGTCAATACTTCTAATACAAGAATGTGGAGAAATGGTTAAAATTTCTGATTCATGGACATTCAGTGCAATAAAGTCATAAAATATTTGGAGAAAGTCCCATTTTCTTCCTTCTACCGTGAAAGACCAACTCAAGATGATTGCCAAGTGGCAAGAGGAGTCTTGTGAGGTAATTCACCATGTCCTCAATCCTAGAAGAGCAGAATTCCAAGTGAGGTCCCCTGGATACTAAAATCCGTTGACTTGTCTCTCCTTTTAAGAACTCCCACTGCTAGGAGCTAACCTGATTTGATAGAATTTATCCTCCAGAAATATAGAATAGCAGGTGAAAGCACAGTGCCCTAAGCATTCAAGAAGCTGAGCTGCAGTCCTTTTGTTAACAGTAATTTTACAACTTTGGATAACTTCAGCTCTCTGGGCCTATTTCCCAAATACAGGAGTTGGTCCAAGATTTGTGATTTTCAAACCTTGCTCTGTAAAAATCTGGGTGCTATAGGTGGTCCCTCAGGTACTGCTTGGAGGAACAGGACTTAGGTGCCTGGTGGGCAGGATACAAGTTCTGCTACGCCATTTCAGCCAGCATATCAGCCATGTTGACCTATATGTGTGCTGGACTTCTGGGAAGGTTTTGATTTGAAAAGCTCCACTACTTAAAACTGTTTGAAAACCAATAATCAAAACATTGGTTTCTGTAACCTACACATGGAGGTTTAACATTTTAATCTCTCACTTGGATTTTAACAGACCTTCCCAAAACTTAATCATTTAAATCATTTAAAAATTTAAAATTTAAAATCATTTAAAAAAATAATGATTGATAGAATTTCAGTTGGAAAGGGAAATATCATTATCATAAAAACAACCTGGCAGCATATTCTTCCTTAATTTTTCACTCCAAACCATGCCCACATACTTCTGGGCCTCTGACCTACTCTTGCTGCTTCTAGGAAAGAACAATTATAGTAGAAACATCATAAATCTATTTATCCAGTTTCCTCTGGGTAAAGGATAATAAATTTTTACTTATTTGCCCAGGAACAAGGGTTCACAGTTCAGTGCCCAGTCCACATTCAGATGGTCAAAAATTTTATCCATCATGCGCCAGGAACTATTCTAGTCTGTAGTCATAAAGTGGTCACAAAGGCAAATGAATTCTCTGCCATGAAAGAATTTACATTATAAGAAAGAATAATGTAGATATAAAATAATTCCGACCTGCTCAAGTAGTATAAACAAAGTATATAATGTTATGTAATGCACAATGATGGCATGATGGTGATGGAGGTGACAAGTAGAGTTAGAGAAGACCTCTCAGGGGGAAGCACTTCAAGTAAGATCAAAATACTGGAAATGAGGCATCCATGAGAGAAAGTAGGGACAGAAAAAATGACAATTGCAAAACCCACGAGACATAATGGAGCTGGGTTTATTTAAGGAACAGGGATCATTATGCCTGGAGTATTGGCAATGCAGGAAATATGGAGGGAGAAGTTACAGAGGAAAGCAGGAGCCCAATCATGTATGGCCTCTGTAGCCTTTGGCAAGGAGTTTGAATTTTATTCTGATTACAATTGGAAGGCAGTAGAGGGATAGAAAAATAGAAAGAAGGAGCAATAGAGCAAGAAAATAGAGTGTAAGGGAGGGAAGGACTGGTTACCTTAACTCGGGCATCACCATAGACTATTCCAGTTGCTAAGGTCAGAATGAACAAGAGTTGTGAAACCATGGAAACCTGGAACAGCATGTGTTGTTTTCTATTAATAAAGTGATCTTCCACAATCACTCTTCAAGTGAAGTGAGAATGGATAAGAGGTATTGGAGGTCATGTTAAAGGGCAGATTTTTAAAGAGAACACACAGAGGGCTATAATTTTAGAACAGAGACTAAAAATTAGAATGAGACCTAGAGATTTTTTTTTACGAAAAGAAAGAGAAATATGTTTGTAACATATAAATCCTAAGAGAAATGTAAGCTCAGATAGGACAATACATTCAGAACAGCTCTCAGAGGTTTGCACTTTTGGTTCTTCCAAAAACTGAATCATCATAAATATAGAAGTGACTGTTGCTATGCCTCCTTGACATTAGATGTGGTCATTTCCTGTCTGAGATGATTGCCAAGTATGTACCCAGAAATGCCAGTTGGTCTTCCAACGGGATGAAAAGGTAAAAATGACTGGCACTCAGCCTTTTAGATAGAATGAATTGTTACACATGGAAAACTACTCCTGAAAGAAACAAAGAGGTGAATATTTCCAAGGGAAACCATTATCAAGGGGCAAGGGTGTTAAAGAATATACTGAGAAGAAACTGAGAAGGTAAGTGTTTTTTAATTACATATATGGGGACCTTTCCAAGGAAAATGTTTCAAAAACTGGTATTTTCTAAGTACCACTTAGTGCTGAATTCCTGTAGTTAGACTCTCTCATTGTTGTATAAGTTTGGATCCAATTAGAAGGTAGAAACGATACAGTGAACTAAACTGAGGAAGTCCCATCTAGAGAATTACCAAACTCTGGTAAAGGAGTGACTGTAATATATAAGGAAATCATATGGTACTCTTAAGAGTAGAGGGAGGGAATCCAAGGAAAGAGCAACTTAGAAGGGATCCTCCCATGGCTGAGGGTCAGACCTTGTTGGTGAAAGTAACAGAGATTGTTGGTTTTCCCAGACCACAGTTCATGGGCTGTTGCTAGGCAAGCAGAAAACACCTTCTGTGTGTTTTCTGGGTACAGGTGATGGTGGCCAGGGTACAGGTGAGTGGCAAGCAGAGGCATGGGCATGCAGAGCAGGTGGGGATCTGGAACACAGGCAAACTGTGCAGGAGACCTGCAGAAGTAATCGGTGCCCAGACAAGGAGGAGGTCTTTGTAGAGAGGAAGCTTTGTGGCATCATTTCCTGTGTAGGAAAGGCCAGGGTAGATTATCACTAGTTCAGAACAAGTCTGCAAGGCAATAAAATGATGGATAGGTTCTGGGAGCAAGCCTGGGGAAGAGCTCCACCAGATGGTCCCACACCCAAAACACCAACCCACTGCGTAGCCACTGGAAATAGCAGGATAGCACCTTCCTCCTCTAATGTCTTTCCAGTGCCCTCTCTTGAGAAAGCTAAACAATGTGCTCATTGTACAGGAGGCATGCTTGAGAGAATTCTGTCCATTATTGCAGAGAGTATATTGAAGGGAATGTTTGGACATGAGAGAAAAATTGATAACTGTTACAGTCTTTTTAGTGTATTCCTTTTTTTCCTTAGGAAAGAAGACCATGCTCTAATAATACTTTGCATCTTTAAAAAAATGAACAAAAATTTAAAAATCTATATGTATAAATATATACATGTATTTGTATGTGTATATCCATCCCTGAAATTACATTTCTCTTCAGTTACCGTCACACATCTCTCCTCTTTGAACAAAGCCTGCTTCAAAATGTGATTGTTTATTCACTGTCCTCATGACTCATACTCTCTGTTACAACACATTCCATGTTGGCTTATGTTCTACACTGCTCCTCTTAAGGTCACCTTTGTGTTGTCAAATATAATGGCCACTTGTCTGTGTTCATACCATTCAACCTCTTGGTAGCATTCAAGTTGAATACACCTTCTTTATTCAGACCCTCGCTTTCCTTTGTGTAACATGATTTTCTGTGTTTTCTGCCTGCCTGCCTGCCTGCCTAGAGACTTTTTTCCCCTCTCGTTTGCCCATTTCACCTCTACTACTTGGCCTCTAAATTTGGAAATACCCTGGAGTTCCATCCCCTTCACTGCTTTGCCCTATCTACACTTTCATTCTGGGTAATATCCACTCTCTGGTTTACATACTGCCTAAAATTTCAATGACTTCTAAATATTCGTCTCCAACTCTGATCTCTTGATTGAGTTTAGGAATTGCATAACCAACTGCCTACTGAACTCTATTATCTAGGAGGCATCTCAAACTCACCATGATCAAAGTAGAATTATTGATTTATATCCCAAAACACCTTTGTCCGAGTCTTCTCCAATTCACAAAATGTTAGCAAGACATATAATAGAAGCTATTCTTTATTCATCCATTTCTCTCACCTCAAAATCCTGTCATATTTTGTTAAATGTAGATAATCTATCTCTTCTGTACTTTCATTGCTATCATCCTGGCTCAGGCCACCTCTCTCCTGGAGTTAGGCAACAACTGGTCTTTCTCCTTATAATCTTGAAACTTCTTCAAGGCATTCTCTACACAGCAGTCAGATTGATTTTTTGAAACTGTAAATTGTGTTATTGCACTTCCTTAGATAAAATCTTTCAATGGATTCTAAATCCAGCCGCAGGGCAAGTGTCTCCTAAAAGATAATTTTTCCTGACCACACAAACTAGATGTAGGTCCCTCCATCTATCAGTTATATTATCATGTTCCCTTTTTATGTAACTATCACTATCTAAGATGATCTTATTAAGTTAGGTTTATATGTGATTTTTACCTGTTCTACTCAATGCTAGATTCTAAGCTCCCTGACTCTAAAGGCCTTGTGTTGCTCACTAGATGTTTTGTCCACAGCATCTAGAAAACACCCAGACTATATTGGTTCAATCTGTGTGTGTTGAATAAAATAAAGACTCCTTTTACATTTGTCAGGGAGGAAGCTGGATGCCACAGTGACTAATAGTCACTTATTAGCTAATAGCTAATAATTATACAGCTATTTATAGAATGGCATGTTATAAAGACATGTTCTCTTTCAGGAGGATATATCTAGATATTCCAGAAAGA